CAATCTGACCAGAACTGACCTCAACTAACATGACAAGATCATAAACACTGAATTCACATGAAAACATGAAAATTGCTCGATAAGCCGAACATGGCCGTGGCGAGCGCACCGTGCGCCGCCGACAGCGTTGGGCCGTCTCTCGACCAACTTAACTTTTCTCTCAGCAAATCCTCCTCAACTGAACCTAAAACATGATGTATTGATCAAAGGGACATGCTGGTTCGAAAGAATATTTATTAAACAAATATGATACTCGTGAACGGCCTGTGGCGCGTGCTACGTGCACGGTCACGCCCTTCGGCCGAAACGACACTTAAACATGAAATCTCTTCGAACACTTAAGCATATCTGAACATGATATTACATAAAATTACTGAACATGCTTAGGTTGTTCAGAGAATTCAACTTAAATCATAACATGACTCGATATCCACTACACACGACAAACATGACTCACGGCCAACATGAAAAATTTATTTGCATGACACTAATACATATACAACCAAGAGATATCCAGCAATATACCTCTTCAGCTGCTCCCTTGTCGAGTTAAACACGTGAAATACTCGCTGTGACCGTGTGTAGTCCTAACTTACGTGCGGTGTGATAGGGTGCTTCTTGCCGTGCGTGCACTATGAAGGAACTAAGGCAATGCTCACCACTCTCACCAACTCTTTTACAAGTATTGAAAGACTATATATATATGGTTAGGAGGTGGGAAAAATCGGACCCCAACACCCCTTATATACTTGCACGAAAGATGAGATTTAGGAGGTGGTAAAGAGCTTAGTGTTAGCTTAATTTGCTTCCACTTGTCCATTAAAATTCTAACTCATCTATTAATCACATGAGTCATCACTAATGGCTTCATAATTGGACACCTCATGCTAACTAAAATGAGGTCATTACTACAATTTTCTATACTTAGTGCTCACGGCATTAAGCTTAAATAGAAACAACTTCCGTACGGCTTTGTGCATTAATATGTGATTAATTACTAATTAATCACCTCATTATGTTTAATTATTAATTAAACATAATGCTTAATTACCAAAATTATTCCGAACGTAAACGGAACGTCAAAAATAATTTTCGGTAATCTTAATTAAAAATAATTAATTCTGAAAATTAATACTCGACAATATTAATATATCAGAACTAAAAACATGATTTATACTGATAAACTGACGGGATATTACAATCCTCCCTCCTTACAAAATTTCTGTCCTCGGAAATTCAAAACATAACTGAATATACATGAACTATGTACATAGAACAAGAATATATGTACATCAGAACTGAAAATCTGGAAAACGAGTGCGAATATCGGACTCCGCCTCCCAAGTAGCTCTGTGGCGATCCCACTGAATACGCACGAGGGGAACATCTCGCTTCTGGAGCCGACGAACCTGACGGTCTAGTACAGCTACCGGTCGCTCCTCGTACGAAAGATCTGGTTGAACCTGAATATCTGAATGAGGAATGACATGATCGGGGTCGCACACGTACTTACGCAACATAGATGCGTGAAAAACATTATGAATGCCTGATAACTCAGGAGATAAGGCTAATCGACGCAACCTCACCTACTCGCTCGAGAACCTCGAACGGGCCTATGAATCGAGGGTGCAGCTTTCCTCTCTTTCCGAATCGAACAACTCCGTGAATCGGACGAACTCTGAGAAAAGCTGGCTCGCCAACCTCGAACTGAATATCTCGTCGATGATGATCGACTGAAGATTTCTGTCGACTCTGAGCTGTCTTGAGTCTCTGTCGGATCAACTCGACCTGATCTGCTGTCTCCTCGATCAACTTGGGACCGAGTACTCGTCGCTCTCCGACATCGTCCCAATAAAGAGGGGAACGACACTTGCGACCGTAAAGTGCCTCGTAAGGAGCCATCTGAATGGAAAAATGATAGCTGTTGTTATACGCGAACTCGGCGTACGACAACAACGACTCCCACTTAGCACCCCTGTCAACAACCAAAGTGCGAAGCATATCCTCAAGTGTCTGAATAGTCCGCTCTGACTGACCGTCTGTCTCCGGATGGTAGGCTGAATTGAACTCTAGCTTCGTGCCCATCGCCTCGTGTAAGCTTTGTCAGAATCTGCTGACGAATCTGGGATCTCTGTGTTATACGATAGTAACGGGCACTCCATAGAGTCGGATGATCCCACGGGTATAAATCTCAGCCAACTTATCCAAAGACATCTTCATCGAAACGGGTAGGAAATGAGCGACCTTAGTCAATCTGTCGACCACGACCCAGACAACATCGTGATGTTCAGACGACCTCGGCAATCCCGTTATAAAATCCATCGTGACTTCCTCCCACTTCCACCTCGGAATCGGCAGCGGCTGCAGGAAGCCTATCGGACTCTGATGTTCGGCTTTGACTTGTTGACAGGTAAAACACCTCTTGACAAACTCGGCGACGTCCTTCTTCATTCCTCGCCACCAGAACGACCCTTTCAGGTCGTGATACATCTTTGTGCTCCCGGGATGGGCTAGATAGGGTGCGGTATGAGCCTCTGATAAAATCTCCTTCCGCAACGCCTCGACTTTCGGGACCACGATCCTGCCTCTGAACTCTAGGGCACCATCGACACCTAGCTGAAAACCCTCGACGCCTCCGGCGTGAACCTTGGCCTCCATGACATGAACGAAATCGTCAGAAGCCTGCTGTCGCCTGATTCTCTATCTCAGCGTCGGCTGAAGCTGCATGGCATTGATACTGGCACTGGTACTCCCCGAAATGGCTGTAGGAAGTGCGTCGACCACTTGAATCTGCATCCGGGCAAACTCCTGAATCAACGGACTCTGCTGTGTAATGACGTACGTCAAGTCACCCCTCACCTTTCGGCTTAGGGCGTCGGCAACGACGTTCGCCTTCCCCGAATGATACTGAATAGAGCAATCGTAATCTTTAACGAGCTCAAGCCAACGGAGCTGTCTAATGTTGAGCTCCTTATGGGTAAAAATATACTGCAAGCTCTTATGATCTGTGAAAATCTCACAATGACCGCCGTAAAGATAATGTCGCCAAATCTTGAGAGCATGAACGACTGCTGCTAACTCCAAGTCGTGCGTCGGATAGTTCTGCTCATGCGGCTTAAGCTGACCTGAAGCATACGCAACGACCTGGCCATCCTGCATAAGGACGCATCCCAAGCCCTGTCTCGAAGCATCGCTGAAAATGGTGAAACTCCAAGAAGGATCGGGAATAGTCAACATCGGTGCTGAAGTTAATCTCTTCTTGAGCTCCTGAAAGCTCGACTCATATCGGTCAGTCCACTCGAACCTCACAGACTTCCTCATCAGCTGGGATAAAGGGAGGGCAATCTTGGAAAAGTCCTCGATGAACCTGCGATAATAGCCAGCTAGACCGAGAAAACTGCGAACCTCAGACGGACACCTCGGTGTCGACCAGTTCTGAACAGCTGAGACCTTGGAAGGATCCACCTCGATACCTGCCTGAGTAATAACATGACCCAGAAAGGCTACTCGTTGGAGCCAGAACTCGCATTTGGAGAATTTTGCAAACAACTTTTCTCGTCTGAGGGTTTCGAGAACCACCCTCAGATGCTCCTCGTGCTCCTTCTGGCTCTTCGAGTAGATAAGAATATCTTCAATAAAGACAATAACAAACGGATCGAGGTAGGGATGGAAAATACGGTTCATGAGATCCATGAAAACTGCTAGAGCATTGCTGAGACCGAATGGCATGACGACAAACTCGTAATGGCCGCAACGAGTCCTAAAAGCGGTCTTAGCGATATCTGACTCCTTAATCTTTAGCTGGTGGTAGCCTGATCGTAAATAAATCTTTGAGAACACACAGGCTCCCCTCAACTGATCAAATAAATCATCGATCCTAGGAAGCGGGTACTTGTTCTTGATCGTCAACCGGTTCAGATCCCGGTAGTCGATACACATGCACATGGATCCGTCCTTCTTCTTAACAAAGAGAACGGGTGCTCCTCAAGGTGACACGCTCGGTCGGATGAAACCGAGTCGTAACAGCTCCTGAATTTGAGTCTTAAGCTCTTGCAACTCCTTAGGCGCCATACGGTATGGGGATTTGGATACTGGACCGGCTCCTAGAATCAAATCGATAGAGAACTCCACCTGTCGGTTCGGCAGTCATCCTGGAAGCTCGTCTGGGAACACGTCCACGAACTCACGAACGACTGGAACATCGTGAGGTGAGCGTGCTTTCTGAGAATCATCGACAAGGATCACCAGATAACCCTGTCAGTTGCCTCGTCGTAGCAACTTAGTGGCTTTCGTCATCGAAATAACATGAGGCAATGAACGATTCCTGGATCCGAAGAAAGTGATCGAGTCGTCTCCCGGAAGATAAAGAGTAATTTCCCGATCATGACATCTAATATCTGCATGATAAAAGGATAGCCAATCCATTCCAAGAATAAGGTCGAAATCCCTCATCTCGAGAACAAACGCGTCGGTAGACAATACTCGGCCACCGATGGAAAGGCTAAGATCTGAAGCTTTAACTGAAGTCACTATCTTTCGTCCTGAGGCTAAACTCACCTCGAGAGGATCGATAGCGGTAGTAGCGCGAACTCCGATGGCATCAAGACATCGGCGTGAAATGAAAGAATGTGTCGCTCCAGTATCGAATAAAGCAAACACAGGAATATTATTAAGCACAACCATTCCTGACATAGTATCTGGCTGCTGCTCGGCCTCTGTCTGATCAACTGCATAGACTCGGGCCTGCTGTCTGCCCCTCTGCTGCTGCTGCTGAGATGGCCTCTGTGCCTGCTGACGGGGCTACTGCTGCTGCGGTGGCTGCTGAGGCTGCTGAGGCTGCTGGGGCTGCTTTGCCTTCTTCGGACATCTGTTAGCAAAATGCCCGGGATCGTGACAATAATAGCATACATCCTGACCAAAGCGACACTCGCCTCGGTTAAGTCGTCCGTATGTCAGGCACTTTGGGATCTGATGTAGCCTCCGCCGGGTCCTCTTATCCATCGGGGCACCTTTCCCCTTCCTCTTGTTGTTCTTCGGTGGTTGGGCAGCTGGTAAAGCTGGCATCAGTGGAACTGAAGATGACTGAGCAAGGGCGGATGGCTGAGGATGATCACGGACGGCCTCCCTCCTGATGCTGGCGTCCACCTCCTGGGCAATCGAAACAGCACGAGCATACGTCTTTGTCCCATGGCCTACGATGTTATGACGGACTGCTGGGTAAAGTCCGTCAATGAAACGCTGTGCTCTCTGGGCCTCCGTGCGAACCAAGTCAGGAACAAAAGCTGCAAGTCTAGTGAACTCCCTCTCATACTCGTCAACAGTACGAGTACCCTGCTGGACCGATAGAAACTGACGCTCCATCTCTGCTCGGTAGTAGGTCGGGTAGTACTTCTCGCGGATCAACTCCTTGAGCATATCCCACGTACATCCCGCCTTCTCGCCGGGACGCATACTCCAGTAGGCATTCCACCAGAGCCGAGCATCACCGGTGAGCTGAAGCTGAGCACAGATTACGCGATATCTATCGGGGCAATCCATGACCTCGAAGATAAACTTAAGGCCCTAAATCCACTCGACTACGATACGGGGATCTCCTTGCCCGGTGAATTTCTCGGCATGATAGTCGCGGAACTGTGCGACTACTGTGGCCTGAGTAGGAGCCGGATGATCGGGTTCCCTACGGGGCGACATCTGAACATTGAGAAAGTTCAACATTATTGAACACGTGATAATATTCTGACTGATTACTGACATGAATCCTGAGGAACTCTAGAGTCATATCGAAAGATACTAAATTCTAGAGTCATGTCTGAGTATACTGATCTCTAAAGTCATGTCTGAATATTTTAAAGTCTGAATCGGATTCGAGCATCTTAACTATGTTCTGATAAATAATTTCTGAGCATAGACAAAGTAATATGTTTATAACTGAAAACTAAATCAGCACTTACCTGGAGTCGGCGAGGCGTGAGCGTGACGGTTCAGGTTTTTCTGAAAATTACTGACTGAAAAACTTTTCAGAGACGCAGAAACGTGCTCTGATACCAATTGTAACACCCCAACTTTTTAATACTATCAGAGTACGCGTTTTTCGCAAATTTTCTGATTAAATAAATAAAATATTTATTTGCAAAACTGATTCGGAGTGCTACCGTGAAAACTTGACTTTTCTGAAAACCGTTAAATTTTAAACTGAATAATAAAACGATTCTAATATATTAATCGACTAAAGTCGGGTCAAAAGCTGTTTAAAAGTACTGAAAGTTTTAGCGGAATAACAGCATGGCAAAACATATATACATATACCACAAATATCCTGAACAGCCCGTCAGCTCACTCCTCGTCCCCGACCCTGCGACCTGAAAAACATGAAATACGTGGGGGCGTGAGCACTAAAATACTTGTGCTCCACAGAAACTCATACTAATGTAAACATTGAAAATAATAACAATATCATGATCTTGGCATATATAACTGAACTGAAACTGAAACTGATATCTGATACCGGTCTGATCTCGCGACATAAGTCACGTAACTGATAACTGAACATCTGTCGGCACGAACTAATACCGGAATCTGCCGGCACAAACTAATACCGGACTATGTGCACACTCTAGTGGGCAGATTAGGCCACTAGAACACAGAATGGACCGGCGACCATTCCGAGCGGATACTGATAATACATACCTCAAACATGGTAGCGTAATTATAATCAATGTAGTACTTAGTCTGAGTCCCCACCTGAACTGCTAAAACTGAAAGTAGTGTTGATGCATGATCAAACTGAAAATAATATAAACAATTACTACTGACTATGCATAGACTGATAAATTAACTGATTAATTATGTTAAGATGCTCTACTGAACCTGACATG